GAGGAGAGCTAATGGCTGGTGGAGTGGTTCAAGTGGTAGAGTGCCTGCCTAGCAAGCATGAGGCCCTGAGTCAAAAACCCAGTACCGCCAAAAAGTAAATAAATCAATAAAAAAGAAGAAGAGAGCTATTTGCTGGGACCAGAGAGCAGCAGCCCCTGTCCCACCTCTGCAGGAGGCATGCCAAGAATAAGTCAGACCTGATGGAATACCAATGAGCTTCATTCACAAAGGGAATTCTAGAGTTCTGTCCATTAATTTGGGCATAAATTAATGCTAAGTCCATAGAACATTAAGCAAATGGAAGAGAGGCAAAAGTTAACTCCGATAAAAACAAAGCTGTTTAAGAGAAGAAATGTCATCTCCGTACTGCATGTGATCAAGCTATGGACGGTACTTACAGTCACAGCAATACTAACATCTGATAGTAATTCAACCAAAAAATGTCATTTAGCCAGGCCAAGAGGTTGGAGAAGTGTGTATGTATAATCCCAAACCTTTGTAGTAGGTAGTTAAAACCTAAACCAGAAATATAATGACCTACAAGAAGAATGTTTCTCAGAAATTTCCATCTAAATGAGTTTAAAATGATTATCTCTTTAGAATGGAACTGGTGTGGGGGGGGGAGTTATAGATGGCGGCCTGGGAAAAACACCTCACAGTCCAACTCAGTCTTCAGCACTCATCTTGAGAAGCACCTTTTCCAGGAAGCCTGCCACTCTGTGCTCATGTCCCCTTCCTTCAAAGGGAACTCTCCACATCACAATGTACTTACCTGTTTTTCCCCTTCACCCTGTGAAACCCACAAGAAGGGAGAACTCTTTCAACTCATAGGGGCTGCTTTAGAGTGTATGCTTAGGAAACATTTGTTGAATGAAAACATAATGCATGACAGAATAGATGAATGGATGGGTGAGTGGGTGAGGGAATACCAAGTATTTTCCAGTACAAGATGGTGTCCCTTTAAAGATCAGAAAAAGCCCAGGAGAGGCTAAAATGGGAGGAAAACACAAAAACACACCTGGAGCTATCAGTCTATTCTTGGAAAGGTCTAGGAGTCATCTACCCCAGGATAAAACCTTGTCCCAAACACCCCTCACCAACTCCTTACCCCAGACCCAAGCCCCACCAAAGGAACCTTGAGCTAAGCTGAACCCAAAAGCTGGGGTTGCCACTCACTAGGGAGAGCTCTTCTACCACACTGGCCCTGCTCCTCAGAACCCTACCATTTCCTCCAAGGACTGCAAACCCAGGGCCTTCCCATATTGCCTGCAACCTCTTGCCAAGAGCAGAGGGTCTTTCCAGGCTGCATTGGCGATGATGACCACCAAATCAGTAGTCCCAAGATAGCGTGGCAGAAAATGTAGGGGTTCAGAATGAGGTTGATATTTCTAAATGGTCTTCCTTTGCTCATTGGTCTTCTTCATTTCCCAGAGTGACAGCTGCCCAGACATCTAGAGGGTACACTCCCGCAGTCTCTCCATGTATTTGCCAGTATCCATTAGACATGTCTTCCCTGTGCAGGACAGGAACTCAGAGAGGCTCTGGGCACCTGCAGACCCCAAAGAAGGGGGAGGAAATGCGAGCAATGTTCAGATCTTCCTCCCCATTCTGTGATCTCACCATGTGCAAGAATTACCCCAGCTCTGGGGCTACACCAGAAACAAAGAACCAAAGCCAGGGGCTCAAGGGATGTATGCACTTTGGAAAGTCAGGCCTTCTTCATTTTTTAGGAAAGCACCCTTCAACTATTATGGGACCTTAATTTAGAAATTAATTTGGGGGTGGGATTTAACCCCCAAAGACCCAGACCATGCAAGGCAACTTGTAGGAGATTCCAAATCTGATGGCTGGGAGTGAAAGTGGAGGAGGCAGTAGTGCAGAGAGGGAGTGGGAAGGGGTGAAGAGAGGATAGGGGTCTGCAGAAGGACAAAGAGAAGAAGGCTCTCACGTGGCTCTTTTTCTGCTCTTGGAACTTTGGCATTTCCACTTTAATGTTCAGGCTTTACCTGTGATTTGTTTCCTGCCCCAGATTCTGGTAGGCCTCCTGCTCCAGTAACCTGTCAAAGGAAGCATCCAGGGGAGACTGGAAGGAGGGAATTTCCTTTGATGTTGTCTCCAGGGCCCTGGAGCCCCTCCTCTACTAATCAACCATTTTGGTTTCATGGGAAGGTACTGCTAAGTTGAGAGGGCCCCACTAGCAACTCATATTGCTTCAGCTGCAGGGCCATGTTGAGGCCATAGCACAGGTCCAGGCACAAACCCAGGCTGATGAAGGACAAGGGTGTGGGTGCCTGGATCTCTTGCACACACCTATGATGCAGCCACACCCCTGTGAGCTGCACTCTTCAGAGCAAAGGCTTACGCTGAGAACTAGGTCACCTCTGCACCTTCCCAGGGCAGGATTCCAGCCCCAGCCAGCCACACTGTCATCTGGAAGAATTATTACCATAGAGGGTCGATGGAGATAAGGGAGAGAGATCCATCCTTCTTTCTTTCTTTATTTTATTATTTTTTTTGGTGGGTCAGGGTTTTGTGCTTACAAAGCAGGTACTCTACTGCTTGAGCCACAGATCCAGTCCATTTTGCTCTGGTTGTTTTGGAGATGGGGGTCTCACAAACTATTCACCCGGGTTGGCCTCAAACCTTGATCCTCTTGATCTCAGCCTCACCAATAGTCAGGATTACACATATGAGTCACTGGTACCTGGCTCCTCCATACTTCTTGCAGAAGGAAGAAAAGTGTGCATAAATTCCTATTCTGGTTTGGGGATTCTGCTCTCTGTTCAGTCCTTCCGGGACACAGGGGGAGTGGTCATGGGCTTGACAGGGTCTGCAGCAGGCTTGTCCACTCCAGGATGTACCTCCTTGACTCTAGCTGCCCTGAACTGGTCCCGTTTGCAACTATCTCAGGAACGTTTGTGAAGTTTTTGTTAGGTGCCCCTCCAAGTGCTTCTGAAAGAGGACTGTACCATGTGGCCTTCCAGATTTTGCAACCCCACCCATGCCCACCCCCACTCTCATCCCTGCACCAAGCATTTCCAAAAGAATACTGTCTATGAAGTGAGACCACCTGGGAAGCTCTTTTCTCTTCCTTGGCATTTATAAGATCCCCACCTGTTGTATCTAGTTAGGAGGACTATGGTCTGCTGCCATATTAGCGTCTCTTGGTAAGGTGTCTCCTTAGCTTGACACAAATGTCCCATTTTCTCATTTTTCTTAGATCCAATCACTATTTGAAATGAAACATTTTGCTTCCTAGTAAACTGGCAGGCACACATATACATACTTCTTAGGAGGATTTTTATTAAAAATTAACAATGGCCCTGGCTATTAAGCTTACAGAGTTTCCATGTCCTGGTTCCCCCCAGCAAATCTGGGAATTGCAAACTCGGTGCTGAGGGGAGGACCCAGGGTAGGAATCAGCCCTGATTCTCCCTGCCCACCAGAACACAGAGAGCTGCCAGGGAAGGGAGGAAGGGGGAAGCAGGTGTTCAAGCAGATTTGCTGGACTGCTCAACCTAGTGGGAAGGCAGGGGTCTTGGGGGCTTGAGAGGATTCCATGCAAGGAGTGAACAACAGGAGCCAGAGAAGTGGGCATAAGGAAGGGCCACCGGGATGTCCCGGTCACAGGAGGAGGTGAAGCTTGGAACAGGGAGGTGGCAGGTGGAGAGAGGGACTCTCAGGGTCTGCCTGTCCATCTAGGGAGCCCTCATGGCATTGCCATAGCCAAGAAAGGGACCTGGCTTTATCAGTTACTCTCTGTGACCCCTAGGCAAGCCCTTAACCTCTCTGAGTCTCGACTTCCTCGTTTATAACACAAGGATGCTAAAAAGAGAACACTGACTGAGTAGAAAGCGAGTGGTGACACGCGTGTGCTGCGCTTAAAGGGACACCGATTACTCCCTTGGGGAAGAGTCAGACTGAGGGCCCAGAGGAAGGTGATCTTATTGGATAGATAGGCCCATTCACCAGATTTTTCAACTCAGATCCACATTTCCGGTGTAGACAGGTCTGAAAAGAGCTGGCAAAGATGTTTGTAAACAATAAAAGTGGAATTCAAAGATTGCCGCTGGGGTTGGAAACCGTGGGGGTTAGGGAAGAGGCTGGATAGCTGGAAGCAGAATTGTTTCTTCGCCGGGGTCATGGTTAAAGCCCAGCGATGGAGATGACTCTGCAGTCCCCCTCTGCATATACACAAACGCTGGAGCCCCCAATCCGCAGTAACCCGTCCATCCCCGACGGGCGAGGCAAGAGTAGCCTCGCCGATGCATTTAGAGATGACGGGGGTGGGGGCGATCATGGGCTGAGTGGGGATCAAATTGTCCCCAGCAGCTCCGAAGGCAAAGATGGAGGTGGGAAAGGGGGACACAGCACGGCTTGCAAGCGCCCCGGGCAGCCTGGGGATGGAGCTCAGGACAGCCCAACGCCCGGCTCGCAGCGCCGCCTCCCGGGAGGAAGGCGGGGGCCGGGAGGGGAGCGGGAGGAGGCGGAGGGCGGAGGAGGGCGGCGCGCTGAGAGGTTATTTGTGGTTCGCTTTGATCCCATGGGGGAACCTGAAACTCTCACATTCCAGGCATAGCAGCCGCCTCCAGCGCGGGCAGACCCTGGGGCTGCGAGCTGGGGCCCGAGCAGCCAGAGCGTCGGCGCCTCCGCCGAGTGCACACCTCTGCCACCGAGCTGCGCGAGCGAGCCAGGCTGCAACGTCGGATCTGAGTGCGCCAGGCACCCGCGGGCCGCAGCGGTAAGGAAGGCCGCCCTGCGCTCCAGGGAGCGCGCGAGGCTGGCAGAGACGCGTCCCGGCAGCAGCCCGGAGTCCCAGAGCCGACGCTCGGGAGAACGAGCGTCCTCCCCGCTCAGTGCGCCCTTTCCAGGCAGCCGCAAGCCCGGCAAGGGCCGCTCCTCCCTGGGAGCGGTACGCTTTGGGGACTCCTGAGGCGCACAGATCCCCCGGGGCTGGAGGAGGGAATCGCGGGGTACGTGTTTTGTGTTGTGAATCCGGCTTGGGGGGAGAGGAAAGTGGCTGCAGGCGTCTCTCGGATTTCACAGCTTTCATGGCTGATTTGGTTAGGTGGTTGTGTGTGGAGGGGGGGAGTACAGGTGTCTTTGCCCCCTACTAGTCCAAGAATTCCTCTTTGTCTTCCTTGGAAAATCCTCTCTGGAGCCACCAACTGGCTCTCACTTAGAAAGAATGCAGCCTGCTGTCCAGCCCGGTGACGTCAGCGCTGGAGTATTTGGAAAACAAAGAGGGTTGGGGAGGGAGGCGGACCCGCGACGCTTAAAGACCTCTCCCTGCCGCAGGCTACCCTTGCCCTCTCGTCCTGGGCGCACTGGCCGCTACTGGAGCTTGAGGTCCCGGGTCCGGGTAGTACGAGAGCCCTGGCGGGGTGCGAGCTGACTTACAGACTAGCTTTGGAGAGCGAGAGGCCAGGCAAAGGCTGCAGACGCATGCTTGCTTAGAAAGGCGGCTTTCAGAGATTGCAGCGCGCTACCGAAGCAGAGGCGCACGGCTGGGGTAGGGGAGAGCTATTTAGTAACCGCTCAGCGGTAGGTATCTGAAAGGTTGTGCATGTAAGGGGTTTGAGAGGGACAAATTGGCTATGAGAGGCCTCGGAGACGTTCCTTGCTCCCGGCCCTGGTACACTATTGGTGTGCCTGGTATCTGTCCGTAAGGCTCCCTGCATTCCTCCTGCCGCTCCCCGATCTGCAGCCAGCCCAGACAATGATTAAGTTAGGAAATGCCCCGCAGATGAAACTCCATGTGAGTTGACTGCTGTTTGCTTGTTTTGCCACTGGTAGTTCTGGATTCTTGCGGGGGAGGGAAGGAGAGAGACGATTGGGTGCCAGGGAACTTGGGTACATAGGTGTCCTCTGGACTCATTCCCCACTACCAGCTCTGAGCAGCTGGAATCCTGGGAAGGGGGGGGATGGATTGGAAATGACTGCTCTGCCAAACCCGATCTAAAGCAGGCACTGGGGCTTGTTTTGTGGCAAGGGGAGCGGGATACATCTCTCTCACACACCCACACCACCTACACACCTGCCTGTAGCAGTGTGGATTTTGTTTGGTTTTCCCTGAATCCCATTTTGGAGGCTTGTGTTGGAAGAAGCTGTGAAAAGGAAGCTGGACGTGGGAGGTGGGTAACCTTCCCACTGGAGCCCAGCCTTAGAATGGCTGGGATATGATCCTTAGATATGGTGTCCCCAAACTTTATCCTCACGGTCCCTAGCCCCCAGTCCCAGGTCCCTGTAACCAAGAGCCTCCCTCTAATTCCCTTTCCTCTCCAGTTGGTCCAAGTGGTCATTTCTGATGTCAAGAAAGATGCTGAGTGTCCATCCTTTATGAGTCTAGAGGACCAGTGGGGCTCTTCCAAGTAGCCAGTGTGTGTACAGAGAAAGGGGATAATCATAAAATCAAAGACTCTGACATTCTTTCTTAACCCTGGCTCCCATGCAGTTACTGGGACATACCCTAGGTGACTGACCTGCTAACCTTGATAGGTAGCAACTTTTTGCCTCATCTCACAAAACCATTTTCGTATCATAGCCTTTCTTTTGTTCATCCCTTATTCACCAAGTCAGATGCAATTTCTTCCTCTTCTTGTCCACCTTGCAGAACGACTGCCAAGGTCATCCGTGACAAGGAATCTCACTTATTTTATCAGCAGTCCTTGGTGAAGCAGAGTGTGTGTGGGGGGTGCTACCCTCCAGGAACTGTGGTTCAGGGCAGAGAAGTGGGTAGAGGGTGGTAGATTGGCTGTGAGTGGCTGGGGTCAGGAATATATATTCTAGAGGTTCCTGGGGGCTGTTTGTTTAGGACTTCCACTGGGCTAAGTTCATTCTTTGTCACCTGTCAATAAACTGGGGTCCTGTTTACCCCTGGTCTGGACAGCTTAGCAATTAGATCTGAATTATGCCTGCTTAGAGTCACCCATCAGACTGATTGATAGGTGGCTGGCTACTGGGGGGTGGGGCCATGGTTCCTATTCGATTGATTCCCTCTAGTACTTCTCTAGCTTAGTAAGTCTCCATGAATATCGCTGTAATGGTTATCATCTGCTCAGGATTAACAGCTATCAGGAGCCCAACAGTCATTGCCTCATCATTCTCAATTTTGACTCCATGAAACAAACATTATTCTTCCCTTTTTTAAAAAGTGGAGAAACTGAGGCTCAGAGGTTGGGTAACTTGCCTTAATAGGTGGCAGCATTGGCAATTGAACCCAAGCCTGTTTGAACTCCATCCACTGTAGTCTTACCCTACCATTGTTCTATGAACCAGAGTGTAATGAAATGCACCCCCTCCTTTCTCAAGTGTTTCCTCTGATTGGTCTCTCTTTCCAGGTGCTCTGGGGCCAGGTGCCTGCTGGTCATTGTCTAGGCAGGTGTGTGCAAGCCAAAGAAGCATGAGGACGCTGGAAGGCTCCTCTGGAACAGTTCTGCACCGCCTCATCCAGGAGCAGCTTCGCCATGGCAACCTGACTGAGACGCGCACATTGCTGGCCATCCAGCAACAGGCTCTGAGGGGTGGGGCTGGAGCTGGGAGCGCGGGGAGCCCCCAGGCCTCTCTGGAGATCGCAGCACCTGAGGACAGTCAGGTGCTACAGCAAGCGACCAGGCAGGAGCCCCAGGGCCAGGAGCACCAGGGTGGTGAAAGCCACCTAGCAGAGAACACCCTCTACCGGCTGTGCCCACAACCCAGCAAAGGCGAGGAGCTGCCCACCTATGAAGAGGCCAAAGCCCACTCGCAGTACTATGCAGCCCAGCAGGCAGGATCCCGGCCACATGTTGGGGACAGGGATCCTCGAGGAGGCCCTGGAGGCAGCCGGCGGCAAGATGAGGCTCTGCGGGAGCTGAGGCATGGCCACGTGCGCTCCCTGAGCGAACGTCTCCTGCAGCTGTCCCTGGAGAGGAATGGTGCCCGGGCTCCCAGCCACATGAGCTCCTCCCACAGCTTCCCACAGTTGGCCCGAAGCCAGCAGTGCCCTCCACCTCGGGGCGCCCTTGCAGAGGGTCCAGAGCCCCGTGGGCCCCCACCTCAGTACCCACACATTGTACTTGCTCATGAGACTACAGCTGTCACCGACCCAAGGTACCGCACCCGTGGCAGCCCACACTTCCAGCATGCAGAAGTCAGGTAGGTAACTGCCCCACCACGGGCTTTCAGGCTCTTGGCTTTCTTCCAGTGCAGTCTTCCAGGGAGCAGAGCCTCAAGGTCACACACCTTGGATCTGAGCTGGCAAGATTTCCACCCCACTTCACTCCCACCAGATCTGTTGGCTGCCTGATCTATCCCTTCCTTCCTGAGAAGGGACAGCTGATGGCTGGAGAAGAAGGGGCTTCGCCGAGGTCACATAAGAAATTAGCATTGTTGCTTTGACTGGGAAATAGACACCATTGTCTGCTTAGCTGTGGTATTCAGATTGCTGGGGGTTGGTGGAGTGTCTCACGAGAAAGAGTGCCTGCCTATCAAGTTGCTGGAGTTCCCAGAGGTTATGGATTGTAACAGGGGTTAAAGGTGAGATTTGAGAAAGAATTTCCCAAAGACAAAGAATGGCAATCATTGCCAAACTATTAAGTAGGAAGAAGGTGGGACCTCCCCATGGAGGTTTTTAAAATAAAAATAGATAGCTTGCTTTCTATTGGGAGACATTCCTAAGGAAGCTGAAAGAACCAGGTGGCCACCTTAGAGACAGACCTCTCTGTCACAGCTACCCTGTCTGCTAGTTTCCTTTTATGTTTTCCACATCCTCCATGGATGTGCCTAGGATGGGAAAGGGTTGTAGGCCTAGGTGAGCCCTTTTCTAGGAATACTCGAGAGAGGCTGCTGGACCAGGGTAGCAACTTAAAGAGTTGGATTCTGAGTGAATGAAAACTATTAGCGGGTGTGTTTGATGATAAATAATGAGTAGAACATGACTGCATTTAGAAAATGAATTTTAAGTCCCAGAATGGAAGCAAGGAGCCAGGAGGAGGCAGGAAGTCAGATAGTGGCAGAAATATGGATTCCTAGAAATGAGGGTCTGTTTCTTTGGGCTTCTCACCTGATCTAGCACCTTCTCATCATTGCTGCCTCTTCCCCAGGAAAGGGGGGGGTCCCAAGATTTGCAAACTTCCTTCCTGTGGCAGCTCAAGGTCAAAGTCTGGTTCTCTTTGCGCCTGCTGAGTCTTCATTTAGTCACTCACTTTCCCACCGTTTGGCCTTTCCTTGCTCTCGAGAAATGAGTGACACGATGGCGTTGGTATGAAGGAACCAGGGGGTGCCTCCTGGGTTTTCTCCAACCTTCACTCGGTCCAGACTCCCACCTTATCTCCCCTCTCAGGGCTGATCGGGAAGTTTCAGAAGCTGAGTCGTGGTTTCTTCTTTTGGACCAGTCCTATTGAACCCTGTCAGGAAAAGATAATATCGAGGCAAGGAAGTAGACTGTTTGCAGGAGAACAAAAAGAGGGGGAGGAGGAGGGACGCCATTCTTTCTTAGCGCTAAGTCATCCCCAAAGAATGCCACTGTGTCTGCCTGGCCCCTTGCAGGGGGCAGCAAGTTTTTTAAGCCACCCTGAGAATAGCCACATTGAGTAGGGGAGGGAGAGTTTGGATGTTCCAGTAGGGACACTTTGCCCAGCTCTCACTGGAAGCCCTATTTTAGGTAGCAGGAGAAATCTACCTGCCAGCCTCTCCTTTCCAGTGGTCATATGAAGAGTAATGTTTGGGTGTTATGTCACAGAACTTTTAGCCTCTAAGAAGAGCAGGAGCAGCCACAGGCTGTAGAAGTAGGCGCGAGTGCTGAGGGGATGGACCCAGAAGTAGAATTCAGCTTTTGTGACACTTGGAGTCACAAGGCCCCAGAAAGGCCCTCTGACTCCTCTTGCCTCTTACTCTTTGCTTTAACTGAAGGTGAAACTGCTTCAGTGACTGGGGCCAATACAACATTGTCCCTGTACTCAGCTACTGTACTAATCCAGAGGCAGACCCTCCCCTTGTTCTTTCAACTGAGAGGAAGCTCTGGTCCCTACCAGCAGAGGTGGAGATGGGCTGTCATGCCATAATAAGCCTGCAGTCTACCAAACACCTTTCCAGGCTATACACTTGTGTCTGGAGACCCTCATGATTTAGTAGAGGAATAGTGACACAGGCTGAGGCACTTCCCCAAGTTCATATGGCTGGAACTGGGATTTGCACCCTGTTTGTCAGACTCTGAAGTTCACACTCTTATCCTGACATCTGTGTCACCGCTGTAAAAGTGTTCCAGGACTTGGGGGGTGACAAGACCTGCACATAGGAGGGAGAAAACTTGAGCACTGCTTTGGCAGACCTGAAACTGGTGGCTTGTAATAAGCACAGCATAGCTTTTAGGGTCCAGCCACCAAGTGATCCAAGGCTGTGGAAGGCTATGTGGTCAGTCATGATTGATGTGGCCTCCAGACTCCAAAAGAACCTTCCATTGATTAGCAGGGTCAAGGGTTTTTTTTTTTTTTTTTTTTTAGGATTTCTTGTTTAAGCACTAGTTGCTTAGGAGGCCCAGGATTGCTTGAGCTGATCCCCAAGGCCTTGAAACAAGCATCCTGACTTTAATTGCCCCTCTGGCCCTGATCTCTGTCCCTTCAGAGTCTCACGCAGACACTACTTGGAAAAGGGCCTCTCTGCTGGTGGCTTCCTAACATTGGGGGGCTGAGTAATCACTCGCAACAATATTAGTGATTTACTGCTGTTATCTATTGGGGGGGGGCGGTTCATGTATCCTCTGAGCTTTTCCTCTTCTGTTCTAGGATCCTGCAGGCCCAGGTGCCTCCTGTATTCCTCCAACAGCAGCAGCAGTACCAGTACCTGCAGCAGCCCCAGGAGCACCCCCCACCCCCACATCCAGCCACTCTTGGTCATGGTCCCCTGAGCTCCCTCAGTCCTTCTGCAGTAGAGGGGCCAGCAAGTGTCCAGGCCACCCCAGGCAGTGCCCACCTGGCACAGATGGAGACTGTGCTGAGAGAGAATGCCAGGCTGCAGCGGGACAATGAGAGGCTGCAGAGGGAGCTGGAGAGCTCTGCGGAGAAGGCAGGCCGCATTGAGAAGGTAGGCCCCGCTGGGGCTTCAGGAGGGATGGGAAGGAAGGAACTCTGGAAGGCTGACTGGGGAGTGGGCTGTGCAGAGGTGGACAGAGGAGCCTGAAAGCCCATGTCTGCCTGGATTTCACACCATCATTCTGTCCCCACCCCCCTTCACCCCTCACAGGCCCTCCCAAGCTGACTCTAGACAGCTGGGGAACAGCCAGGAGGCCAGGAGAGCAGGCTGGGAGCCTGAGCAGTTGCTGGCCAGTGGTGGTTAAAAAGAACTCATTCACCAGCTCCTGCACACTCGCACCCGCGCCCTGCACACACCCCCTCCCGCGGACACCTCCCACAGAGAGCCCTTTGTGTCCCCCACACAACAGCCAGTCTGTTCCAGTTCAGCCCTGGCCAAAGATAAAGCCCCTCCTCTTGGGGGTGGGGGAGAAAAAAAGCGACTTCTTGGCATGGCAAGCCAGCTAGGAGCACGTGTGGGACCTGTGGCGGCCAAGTGGGAGGGGCAGCCAGGGCCAGGCAGCCCTCTGTATGGATATGGCCTCTGTATGGATAGTGATGGCTGGGGGAGCGAATGCTCCAGACAGAGGCAGCTCAGGCTCAGGCCTGGTGTCCCCTTCTTTAGTGAAGGCTTATGCTTACCAGTTGTGTGTGAAGGTTCCACAACAGCAGATGGCCTCCCATGACAGTCCAGTGGTGTCTGACATGGGTCAAACCACCCAGAACACGTCAACTCCTAGCCCCTGTGCTCAGATTTCTCAGCAGATGACAGCCAGAAGTAACATTACTCTTTCTGGACATTGGACACAGGAGAGCTGTGTCTAATCACCCTGGAGGCAGACATTTGCTGAGTCCCTGTCCTTGGGTTCTGTCAGGACCTGGTACTTGAGGGAACTGATGGACCCCTGCTCCTGGTCCCTGCCATTTGGTCCACCTCAGGAAGCTGCAGGCTTCCCACCATCCCACTATAACTACCTGGGGGTTTTGCTTCTGCTTGTTATCTTCCCATCTTTTCCTTTTTTCTGATGGGGAGTGGCTGGTCAGCCTAGGATCACTCCCTGGGAGCCCTTGCCTTTCCTTCAACTTGCTGTCTGTTCCTTGCAGCTGGAGAATGAAATTCAGCGGCTCTCCGAGGCCCACGAGAGCCTAACGAGGGCCTCTTCCAAGCGAGAGGCCCTGGAGAAGACTATGCGGAACAAGATGGACAGTGAAATGAGGCGACTACAGGACTTCAACCGCGATCTTAGAGGTGAGAGCTGGGCAGAGTCCCCATGATGTGACCCAGATCATGACCTGAGGCAAAGGAGTGTTCTCTCCCCATTGGGCCCTCACCTAAGCATAGCCCATCCCCAGCTTGGAGGATGCAGACCCTCAGATAGGACCCCAGGGAACATCCAGGCTGGCAGTGTCACCTAACACTAAGACATCATTCCTCCTTTATTTGAAACAGAGAGATTGGAATCTGCAAACCGTCACCTGGCAAGCAAGACCCAGGAGGCCCAGGCGGGCAGTCAGGACATGGTGGCCAAGCTGCTTGCTCAGAGTGAGTAGGGGGGGTCCCACTACAAAGCCTGGCCAGGTGGGCAGGCAATGGAGCCACTGTGACCCCTCTAGATGGGAAGTTTGGGCCTCTTCCTTTGCAAAGCAGGATTTTGGACACAGGTTTACTGAATAATTATGATATGCCCAACACTAGACTAGGCCTGAGAGGCGGAGGTGGCTTGCAAAGGAGAATAGGATATGTTTCTATATTTATTGGGAAGATCTGTTGATACAGGAGGGAAGGCTAGAAGCAGTGATTTGCTGACCATCAAAGTGGTATTGGTTAGTCACAAAGGCACATTGGGGAGGAGTGAGGCAGGGAAGCCCTGGCAACAAGTGGAACAAGGGAGAATGAAGAATCTGAGAGTTTCCCAGAGAGCTGTAAGCAACAGCAAGGATGGGGGGGTGCCCAATGGGAATCTGAAAAGCAGGGGAACATGGTGGAGCTGGGCCATGGCAAGGCAGCTGAGTTGGGGCCGGAGACAGCCAAAAATAGGTTCACAGAGCTTAACCAATAGGCGCATCTAAAGAACAGAGGGGTTCAGGAGACTTCCCTGTAAAGGCAGAGGTCCAGGCATCCTTGAAGGGTGATTGAGTTCATTGAGTAGTCCATTCATGCCTTCCTTTGTTCATTAACAGAATTGGGCTAATCAGAACCTGGCTGGTGTTTAGCAAGAGGGTAGGAGCAGGCCCAGGAAATGGCAGAGAGAGGGATGAGCCGAAGGCTCTGGTAGGTTCCCTACTGTGGAACCCACTGTACCGGGAGGGGTACAGATGGTACAGTGGAGGAGCAGCCAAAGGACTGCGACTGGATGACAGCACCCCCTCCTTCCTTCAAAGGGAACTCAGAGCCCTAGCTATTCAGAAGGCAGAGATCAGGAGCAAATAATTAGAGAGACCCTATCTTGAAAATACCCACCACAAAAAAGGGCTGATGGAGTGGCTCAAGGTACATGCCCTAAGTTCAAGCCCCAGCACCATTAAAAAAACAAACAAACAAACAAAAAAACCCACAGAAGGAACTCTGGGTTGAGCAGGGTTAGGTTAGTCTGTGCTGGGGGGTGGAGGGCAGTGGCTAAGGGTCTCTGAAAGGGAGGTGAGGGAGAAAAGGGGGGTGCAGCCTTAAGGTTTGCTCTTAGCAATCTGGAAAGGATGATCTACTGTGGGGAAAATGCTGAGGGGCACCCTAGTGTCCGAGGGCCAGCTTTTGGGGGGCCTAGCTGCCAAAGACAGGAAGTCTTGGGGCCAGTTTCTGGAAGCCTGGGGGGGGGTGGGGGGAGGCCTGCCAGGAGGCAGGAGGCGTTTCCGCTCCCCGGGGAGCGAGCGAGCGCCAGGCTGTTCTTGGCTTCTCCATGGAGCCATTAATCTCGCAGCGGCGGGTGACCTGGATGCCTGGCATTCCAGAGCCGCTGGGCTGTTCCGCTCGCGGCCCGCCCCCCTCCGCTGCCTCCAGCCAGCACCGCAGCCTGGCGCCCTTCGGCCCGCCGCGCCCGGCTTTGTGGGGAGGAGGGTGAGCACCAGGGGAGACTGGGACTTGGAGGTTGAGGAGGGGCCTCTCCTGCTATGGTGCATCTGCGTCTCCCAGTCTCTTCCCGGCTGCCTACTGGCTCACGAGCTCTCTTCCCCATGGGCCCATGGTTTCATCACCATCATGGTGGCTTCCCAAGGCCCAGCCTCCCAGCCCCCCACCAGGGCAGGTTAGAAGTGGTACAAGGTTGCAGGAAACCTCTGGAAGTAGAAGGCTGGTTCCACTAGCTCCACAACCCCAAGGGCTAAGGAAACACAAGCCAACTCTGTGTCCCATTTCAGAAGGTTTCTGGGGTCAGCCAGAACTAGTACAAAATGACCTTCCTTACCATTGTCATCTGGTGTACCCTCTCTGGGGACCTGGTCTTGAGTCCCAAGCAGAACTGCTGGCTGTGCCCTGTTGGGCATGTGTCATCTCTCCTTGTGCCTCAGGTTCTCAGTTGACAAGTCCTTAGCCAAAGATTAAAATTAATGAAAATTAAAGAATTAGCCATTCAGTTCTTCTTATTAGCCACATCGAAAGTGCTCAGGAACCACACGTGGCCTATTGGCTACTGCTTTGGATGGCATAGTATAGAACAATTTTACTAAAGCAGAACATTTCCACGAATCACAATGCTGCTCCAGAGTTTTTTGGGGTTCATTAGGCAGGCCCCACAGCCCCAGTCTTTCCAAGGCAGCCACTCCTAGAGGTCCAGGCTGAGACTCCCGAGGGGCAGTGAAGAGACTAGAGAACTTGGTGGTGACTTGTCTTGACCCAGCTAGATGGAGGGGTTCTCTGAGCAGAATTCCTCTAGGCAATTAACAAGATGACTTAAAAGTCAGGATAGGACTAGGGGTGTAGTTCAAGTGGTAGAGCACTTGCATAGCAAGCACAAGGCGCTGGGTTTAATCCCCAGTACAGGAAAAAAAAAAAAAAAAAGCTGGAACCTCAGAGAGCAATCTTTGGACCAGAGTCCTTTTCATTGTGCTGCAGAGTTTGCATTCCTTTATGAGCCTCACTGCCCACATCTGGGTCCCCAGACCATGGAAGGAAATAGGAAATGTGGCACTGGGCTAAGGAATGAGCCCCGGAGCCCATGTAGGGGGGCTTATGGGGACAAGTGACTCACACTGCAGCCTGGGGCTAAGGAGCCAGGCCAGCTTGGTTCCCATGCTTTTCCCCCTATATAAATTGGGGGCCACAACTCCTATCTGGAAGGACTGGAGGGTTGAGTAGGATCAGATGAGTGAGTGCCTGGCTCATGCAGTGAATGGTGGTTCTTCTCCCTTTGTCCTCCCACTTGAGCACTGACCATGTGACAGTCCCCTCAGAGCTTTCATTTTCTCACCTGTAAGTGGGCATCGAAGTTCCTATTCTGATCAGGGTGTAGTCATTATGAGGCTCAAGGGAAATCGTGGGTGTATTTTTGGAAGTGGCACATGTAGGCAGTGATCCTGCAAGGATCATGGAATCAGATTCTGCCATTTACTCCTGGCTTACACTAAGCCTCAGCTTCCTCTCCTGTGAAATAGGGTTAATTGCTGTATGTGACTTCTAGGTTGTTTCTCCTAGGTTGTTTAGGGGATGAGAAGCAGTTGTAGAGCCCAGCAGGCATGGGGTAGCCACACATCCCTGACTGAGGCCCTCTCTTTGTCCCTGCAGGCTACGAGCAGCAGCAGGAGCAGGAGAAGCTGGAGCGGGAGATGGCACTGCTGCGCGGTGCCATTGAGGACCAGCGGCGGCGTGCCGAGCTGCTGGAGCAGGCTCTGGGCAATGCTCAGGGTCGTGCTGCCCGAGCAGAGGAGGAGCTGCGCAAGAAGCAAGCGTATGTGGAGAAGGTGGAGCGGCTGCAGCAGGCACTTGGGCAGCTGCAGGCCGCCTGTGAGAAGAGGGAGCAGCTGGAGCTGCGTTTGCGAACGCGCCTGGAGCAGGAACTCAAGGCCCTGCGTGCACAGCAGGTGAGTCAGAAAGATCTGTGCAGGTTGCGAGCTGGAGCAGCATCTGAAGAGGCCAGGTTGGGTGCCCCTGCTCTGTCCCCTTAGAAAGCAAGGGTAACTGATCCATATTCCAAGGTCCCTGTTACTGACCTGTCATAGCAAAGGCTGTGCCACGTGGTCTTTATCCAGGCTTGGGAAACTCCTGTCCTCTACAACAGTAGAGATTATTATCTCTGATCTCTAGAGGAAGTTGGCTGGGAACCTTTATACAGAAGACTGACCAGCTCTCATCTGTCTCCCCAAGATAGGAGGGAAGGTGGTCAATCAGGTCCTGAGTCTGGACTTCTGTGTAAACGCGTCTGTCTCCACTCCCAGCCTTACCCAGCCCAGAGATAGAAAAACCAAGCCTTCCACTGGCCAGTTCTGGTCTAGCTTACATCAGTTATCTCAGTACAGATCATCAATGGTATTTCCATTCCCAGTTTGGAGTATGTGGCCACTTGTGTCCTCATAACCTTGACCACAGAATTTGGGGAAAGGATCTGCTGCCCCTTCTGTCTGGATGGGAGCAGAATGGATGTGGGGAGGTGTTAACGTATGATTGAACAAGCACGTGTACAAGTGAGAGTCCTTGTGTGAGGACAAAGACCATCATACCCAACTTCCACCCTTGACCACGGTGCTCCTTGCTCTGCAGAGACAGACAGGCACCCCTACTGGTAGCAGCAGCAGTGGTGGGTCCTCAGAGCTCAGTGCCCTGCGACTGTCAGAACAACTTCGGGAGAAGGAGGAGCAGGTCCTGGCCCTGGAGGCAGACATGACCAAATGGGAGCAGAAGTACTTGGAGGAGCGGGCCATGAGGCAGTTCGCCATGGACGCAGCGGCCACTGCAGCTGCCCAGCGCGACACCACTCTTATCCGACACTCCCCTCAGCCGTCACCCAGCAGCAGCTTCAATGAGGGCCTGCTTGCAGGAGGCCACAGGCAACAGGAAATGGAAAGCAGGTTCGTCACTACAGGCCAGGCTAGAGCACTTGAGGCAGAAGGTGGAGGTGGCTGTGCCCGGTCTTCTTCCCTGTCCTTTATCCCTGGTACACAGGCCCTTGTCCCCCACTCGGCTCAGCAGGCCCTGCTGCTTCTGAGCTGACCTCAGTGACTTTTGACTCTAAGCAAGCTCTTATCTGATTGAAAAATATTCACCAAGTTTTTGGTCTGCCCAGGAGACTGGCTATCCCAACACCTCCAGGTATTGGGTGCCATCTAGTTTTTGGTTTCTACCCCCTCTCTGGAGGTAGGATGAATGAGTGTCATGGCACTGCTACCAGTGAGTCTAGGACCTGTCCTGATGACCTGCCCTTGCACATGGGATGTGCCCAGAGTCTCAGGTACTGGTCATGCACCGAGCCTGAGCTCTGAGATAAGTACAGAGCTGTGGTCATTTCTGCAGACCCACTCTAGGGTCCCACAACAAGGGCAAGAGGTCTCAGATGCCTGGCTGAAGCGGGGCTTTCCTTCCCATTTCTATGATTGGGGCAGGGTGGAGGTGCTGGATCAGTAGATCTGACAGTGTGGGCATGGCCTTTCCTCTCAGGTTGAAGGTACTCCACGCCCAAATCCTGGAGAAGGACGCAGTGATCAAGGTCCTTCAGCAACGCTCCAGAAAAGATCCTGGCAAGGCCACTCAGGGTTCCCTGAGGCCTGCCAAGTCAGTGCCATCTATCTTTGTGGCTGCAGCAGGGACCCAGGGCTGGCAAGGACTCTCGTCTAGTGAGCGCCAAGTGGATGCTCCTGCCCGGCTGACAGTAGGTAAGAGAAGGTTGGTAGTGGGATAGAGAGGAATCTCTCTCAGGCCTGAATACAGACCTTTCTTCCCAGAAACAAGGCTCGCAGGAGCCATGGCTTCCTGACTACTCTCCTGAGGAGCTGGCTTATCTTTTGGCTCCAGTGGCCCCATAGCCTACTGCTGGAAGGGTGGTAGCCCCATCTCCACACATTCTTTCACCCTTGGCCCCAGCTGTTTAAGCATCTAAGTAAAAACAAAGCTTCTGGGGAAGAAATGACCCAAGCATTGTATGTACATATGAATAATAAAAAAATAAAAATTAAAAAAAAAAACAACAAAGCTTCTTGGGCAGATGTGCCTTCTAGACAAGCCCCCCTCCCATACTCCTCCTAAGCAGATCTCAGAAATTCTAGAATTCATCTTACAAAGAAGGAGTCCACCACTCAAAACATTTGGGAGCCAGTCCAACCCAATAGTTACTCCCATTTGAAAACAGAAGTGTTTGGTCTTATCACAATTTTTGTACCATCAAGAGCAGCCCAGAATCCCCTGCAGGTCCTGTTCACTGGGGCTGTCCTTTATCTAGGCCACATCTTAAAGCCAGACCATAACAACTTCCTATCTTTCCCACAGACAGGGCATCCATGGAGGAGCCAATAGCTACTGCTCCCCACCCTACCCATGCCAAACACGGGAGTAAAGATGGGAGCACCCAGACTGATGGCCTGCCAGACAGCACCCCCACCTGCCTGGCACCCGAGCTCGACAGCCTCCTGGGGTGCAGCAGTGGCCAGAGGGCAGCCTCTATGGGTGAGTCTTCCATTTCCCCTAGCCTGGCCTCTGGTGGGCAAGGTTGAGGGCACACTGGGCTGGGAACTTGAACACCAAGGCCCTTTCTCTCCAGACTCTCTGGTCATTGGGAGCCCTGCATAGTGAAAGGTGAGGAGGGTAATGACCACCACCTTGGTGTGAACGTGAGGGCTGTTGGAGGCATGAATAGAGAGCCCTGGCTGGGGACAGATTCAGAATTTAAAAAGAAAGCAACAGAATGGAAGGCACTGTGTCGTCTTATAGTTTTCCCTACATCCTTAATTGCAATCTTAGAGGATGACTCTTGGCAAGGTATCCTGATGGTGCTCACAAGTTAGGAGACTGTTTTTAAAGTCCAGGAAGGAGAAATTTGAGACAAGGCCCTTTCTTGTCTGACTCTCTTTTCACACTAGCCTTTGCATATTTGCCTGTGCCTCATGATCTCAGAAAACCACAGGCATGAGAAGAATGCAGCAGCCTCACTCCCTCAGGGCTCTCTCTCCACTGGCTCTGCAGGCCCTCCAACCAGCAGAGAGTCATGAACAAACGCATCTTCCATGCTGGAGCTTGGTGGTCTGGGCCTAGAGTTGAAAGGGAGCAGAGCACTGTGTGTGGTTGGCCTGGTTACGGGAACCAGGGCAGCTGATGGGGAGCGGGAGAAAGGTTGGCGAAGATAGATCGTCTTAAACTGTGCCAGGGTAGAACAGTCAGCTAGTAACACTCATGGCATGTACCTGTGGTCTTGTCTCTCTCCAGACTCTGTAGCCTCATCCCGCGTCCAGGACCTGTCGGACATGGTGGAGATATTGATTTGAAGGAAGGAGGTGGTACCTTTAGGACCTTGAATTATGCCTTCCCTTCCTCTGCCACTCTCTGCCATTCCAGCAGCCCTTCCAACTACTGCTCCCTGCATTACCCAACCACTGACTGTCTGTCCCCAGGAGTTTAGGAAGGGTGCTTCATGGGAGAAGAGAGCTGAGAGTGCCGGCCATCCAGAAGACTGCTTCTTAGGCCATGTTCCTCCCGTGCCCATGCAAAAGGAGGATTGAGCCTTCACTCTCTCTCCTAGAAAGGAGCCGAGCCCCTCTGTCCTGACAGTTCACATTCAGGCCAGGAGGGAGACTGAATATGTTGGTTTGGGGAGCCGATTCCCAAAACTGACTGACCTTGGGCACCAGGTATGCTGGTGTGGAAATCAAGCCAGCCGTGTTATTCTCTGGCTAAGTGTGGCCCCAGCAAAACTCCATCTGCTTTTCCTGGGATCACTCAGACTTGAATCTTTTGGGGACTATTGAGGGTGTGAGTCTGACAGAAGCCACAGCTTCACTCCAGTGAAGGGTGGGTTAAGGGCCATTTGAGTGGACTGGGGGATGGTGTATGATTTGTATATAGTTCCCTTCTTGGGGAACAGAAGATGGAAGCAGCCGGTTGGGATTCATCTCTGTGGGCTGTGTTGCCCATCCTGACTGGCACAGTTTTTGAAACTTCTGACTGGCTCCCTAGTTATTCCAACTCCTCGAGTGCTTGGCCTGAATTTGATGCTAGTTGATTCTTGGGATGTTAGCTGCCTTTTCCTCCATCTTGAGCCCTGAATTATGAGACCTGAATCACCAGTCTTTTGAAATGGCTCTACAGCTCCCGTCCCTAGGACATCCTGTCAGTTTGGCTATAAACCGAGCCAGATGAAATGAGCCACCACACAACAAACATCTGCCATGACCACCTGTGGCCTTGGGTGGCCCTACCCAACACCAGTTCTCTGCAGAAACTGGAGAATTTGTTTTGCTCTCATCAATGTCTTTGTTTCCATCTGGAGGGATTGGGAGAGGGATCATCGATGAGTTACAAGAAATGACTCCAAATAGTCTACTGAATGGAGCCCCCGCTACAAAATGGCACCTATGAGGTTGGCTCCTCAAGCTACCCATGCTCACCCCTGAAGCCGGGCCAGATACTTGGGTTTAGGGTGAAGCATCTTATATGGCAGCCGTGACTTTGACTTCTGGTCTTAAAGTCCCCCAATTCAACCCCAGGAGTGATTGGTGGGTTTTAGCAAGTTTTGTCTTTACTGTTTTTAGTTCTTCAATCTTTTTTGTTTGTTTGTATTGTTTTCCTTTTACTGTTTTTAGTTCTATATGTGTTTTATTCGAATGGTTCCTCAAGTTTTCTTTTTAAACATTTGCATTTGCTGGACAATTGCATATTTTTTTAGTTCCCCATCCCTGTTTAAAGCTGAAAAATACATTTGGTTCATGTGCATTGTTTACAAAGCAAAAAAAGAAAAAAAAAAACAGGAAAAAAAAGGCAAAAAAATATTGTGAAAGGAACAAAAACAACTTAATATATTTTGGATTAATATTTAGTATTTCTTTTAAAGTATTTTTTGTGCTGTGAACGTTTTCTGCCAAAGACCATAATGTGTGTCTGTATGTTTAAGTTATCGTAAATATTTAAAATGTAAACATGGCTGTTTTGTTATGCCACCCTGTACCAGGAATGCTACTGCATTCCACTGGGTATAACAGTATTTTAATAAAAAAAATTATTAAGAGTCATGTCCTTTTTTTTTTTTGCAGTACTGGGGTTTGAACTCAGGGCCTTCACCTAGAGCCACTTCCCCAGCCATTTATTGTGATGGATTTTTTCAAGATAGGGTCTCATGAACTATTTGCCTGGGCTGGCTTAGAACCTCAATCCTCCTGATCTCTGCCTCCTGAATACCTAGGATTACAGGCATGAGCCACTGGGCACCAACTTGTGTCCTTTTTGTAAGACAGGATCTCACTATATAACTCAGGCTGAACTTGAACTTGCTGTGTAATCCAGGTTGGTCTCAAATTTTTGATTCTCCTGCATCAGCCTTCCAAGTGATGGTATTACAGTAAGAATGGTGTCTTAGCATGGTGAGTTTGCATTGAGGGAAGGAAAGAGGAATACTGCAGGGCCACCTGTGTTATAGACCAATCTCTTCAAGGACCCAAAATAAATCCTAGGAATTTTGAAAAACTGCATTAAGGAGAACTGGAATGATTTTTTTCCCCCATCCTTGCCTAACCATCCAAGGATCCACACACACATGCAGGACAAGGCCAAGGGTGTAGCATGTTCTTGGGGACTGTTCTTTAGCCACCTTCCTTTGCTATAGCATCACTGCTCTTCTCTGGTGCTCAGAAAAGTATAATACTCCAATTCAAAAAAAAGCAAGCGATCCTCAGTCTCGCTCAGCATGTTCCCAGTCAGGATGTGGGCAGGCAGCAGAGATCTCACGGTGAGGCAGCAGGTAGCCAGACAGGCTATGGGGCGTGTGACAGCAAGTTACCTCCCTGAACATGGGTGAAGGATCTTCAGGCCAAGAGTGGGTCTTAGCAGCCACATGGATGCATGATCAAACTGGGATTCTAGAGAGTGTGTCTTCTGGCCAACCTGCCTGACCACAAGAATGGTGTCAAACAGGTGGAAGAATATGGAACACCCAAAGACTTCCAGCCAGCAAATTTGCAGGTGACAATGGGCTCTGTAGTCTGACTCCTGCCACCTGGGCAGCATCGAGGCCTGCTCACTGAATCCTGCACTGGGGTTTCAGGTGTGTGGATGGGTTGCTCCCCTAAGATGCAAGCCTGGTCTCTGGAGGCAGCCTGAATAAGGGACCCCTGCTTCCTTCCTCTACTAGTCCTCCACTGAGACTTGACATCCAAAACAAAATGGCAGTGACTGTGGCAGGGAGTTCCCAAGAACAGCTTGGCAAAGAGGTTTCCATTCAACTTCCCCTGCCCTTCCCTGCACACCCTCCCCCTCACCCCTACGCCCAGAGCCCTGGAAGAGCAGCTTAGACCTACAAGCTGTCAGCTCTGTCCTGACAAGGCACCCTCCCACCCCAGCACCTGGGCCAGAGACTTTCAAAACACCTGGGCCTTCTGTGGAATCAGTGTGTCCAAAGTCTCCTCCATAGTCCCTTGGCACAAACCGGGAAAAATGAAGAAATCCATCCCACTGTGCACATGCATGAGTACATTAGCAGGCATGTGTGTGGTCATGAGCCCCACAGAATGGTGTGAGGGACTTCTGTGTTTTTCAGCTGGTGTCTCTCCAGGGCACCAGTCAAATGTTCCTCAATGCATCATCTCAGAGAAGGGGTTGAACAGGCTGCTTAGTGCACTAACCAAGCTCCAGAAGTGGTGAAACCACAGGCTTTGGGGGATTAGACAGGCCCTGGGGAGGGAGGTTTTTGGCCCAGGTATCTGGACACCTGTGAAGGGGTGGGGCTTTTGCCAAAGCCTGGGTGGCTCTGTTAGGCCCTTTGGAGGCCAAGTTCCTTTTCGAGGGAGTAGCCCTAACCTGCCTGTTCTGCCCCCATCCACTGCCACCACCAACAGAGCTGTGGGTGTGACTCGGGGGTAGCAAACTGCTCCAGGGTAGGAGCGCAGCCCATGAACTATGAGTGACTGCTTCCAGCTTCTCTCTTTCTCTTACCTCCTGGTTAATTGTTAAGTTTCCCCTTGACTTGAGCATGCGCCAAGCTCAGAGAACTTGGTAAACGTGTATGAAGACAGGGACAGTAAATTGAGTCGCAAGCACCCAGAGATAACCAAAGCCTCTTCAGTGCTCCCAAGGACCTGAGCTAAACAGGAAATCTGTTTACAGTGCCTCTGTCTTGTCTCCTGGTACAAGTGAGGACCTGCCTGCATGCAGTTACCTGTGCACAGCCCTTCTTGTGTATGCCTGAGCCCCCTGGAGGTGGTCCAGAAACCCCAGCCACAAGCAGTGCCTTCAGGGACCCCTCATGCCTGGTCCAACCCATGTGCCACAATTGTGTTCTCAGCATCCTTTTTAAAAAGATAGAATTCATGTACCATAAAATCTCCCCGTTTAAAGTGTGCCATTTAATGGTATTTTATATTACAGCACCCTCTTTAAGCCAGCAGTCAACCATGGGTCATCACCAAATGCCCCACCAGTGGGTCATATGAACACCATTAGCTGTGTCATTTGATCTGCTGCATTTGAACTTGTCATGCTGCTATTTCCCAGGATAACTCTTTGAACTTTCTGGAGTCTTCTTACACCACCCTGGGCCCAGCAGCTCTGGTGTACCTCCACTGATGTGAGCTGGAACCCTCTACCATTTGATCCAAGGCTGCTGGGGGCACGGGCCCTGACTGAAGTTTGGGAAGGAAGCCTGTGAACCCTGAACACCCCACAACCCCTAGGCATTCACTCTCTGCTCAAGGTGTTCCAGAGCCAAAGAGAATTGGCAGGGGTTCCAGGAAACACAATGCAATATGGAAACACAATGCAAAATTAACTCTAGAGCTTTGGGAGGGGCCTGGTAAAGTGAGTACACAGGCATAGCTTCATTAACTTCACAATATGCATAGGACACTGGGCTCTTTACCTCTCCAAGAGAAGATACTCTGGAAGGTGTCCATGATTTGGGTTCATCCTTGCCTCTGGAGATAGAGGAAGCTAAAGTGTTTCTTCTTGGGCCTAGGGAGAATATCACTACAGTGCAAGCTTGGACAGCCAGGCTGACCAACTTCCCAAGGTCCAGACCTGTGACTGGTCCAAGTCTGCACCCTGCCCATTCACCAAGCAAACTTCCAGCCCTGGCTGGAGGGCTGTGGGGTACATCCAACAGGGTCCATCCACTCACTTGTAATAGGGACAAATATTTCTACTCTGAGGGCCTGTCAGCTCTCCATTCTGAGCAAGCCAAATGTCATGACCTGTCCTCAGATAAACGCCTTTTGCAAGTCCAAAGGCTCCTACCTGGGGACACATTTCAAGTGTGTTGGGCAAGCATATAGTCATTTCCCTGCTCAGTTTTGCTTCTTGCATCAGGTCTGGCCTTCTTTTCCAGCTCAGGAAGGCCCCGCCCAGACTCTCTTCTGCAGCGTCTGCTTGCTCAACCCTGCAGACTGTGGAAATCCTCACTGCATATTGCATCAGCAACAAAAATACCCAAATCTCTACTGAAGAGTGAGTAACTACACAAGCCACAGTGAAGCCCTGCCCTGAAGACTACAGGAACCTTCGGTAATTTAAAATAAAGAAAGAAAAGTGGGGCTCCATCCCAGGGCTGTTCTCTAAGGTGTGGGTTTTCCCTTCTAGCACAGCTGGCTTCTTTTTCCTCCACCCTATTTCTCTGTAAGTGATTGTACCATCCATCCATCCATCCATCCATTCATTCATGTTACAGATATTAGTGCCTCCCATGTACCCGACACTGTGGCAAGTGCCGAGGGTACAGTAACAAGGCAGATTAAGTATCGAACCCATTTTGCATCCCTACCATCTGTTTGATCTTTATATCCCATCCCAAGTCAAACACAGGATGCTCAGAAGTGTTGGATAGTGAGTATTCTTTTTTAAATTTTTTTTCTATTTTTATTAGGATATATGTTGTGCAGGAGAGATTCATTGTGAAGATTCTGGATAGTCTCACATTGTACATGGGTTAGATCACTACCAGCATCTTCCCACCCTCCACAAACCCCTAAATGAGTATTCTTGACATAAACTGACTCCCATCTGCTTATCTGGGATTCCATCAAACACCTGTGTGTGCTCGCCATTCAAATAACAGGTGGATGGAGCCCAGCCACCCCCTGGTGGTCTTCACCTCCAGGCCTCTGCATGTGCCATTCCTTTGCTCTGAGTGACTTTCTCCTCTCATTTCTCCTCTAATTTGACACCACTCCCTTCTTCAGCTTCCTGTACATTCTCACAGGACCATGAGAGGGAAACGAAGTAGTGCGTGCAGGCTGAGCAACCCCTTGCTAGTGAACGTTGGCTTCTGTTTGGTTAAGAAGGAGCTGCAGGTGAGAAGTCGTAACTGGCCTTTTCACTTATTCTGAGGTTTGCTCCTGTCTCTATGCTGGAGTCACAAGTGGCCCAGAACAAGGCCCTGACAGCAACCCCTGAGGATATTTTGACCAGATGTCCCAATTTCCTCCCCCTCGGCCAGACCCCTGACATTCCCTGGAGGTGGGAGAGGAAGAAACAGACTCTGTAGGTGGAATCTTCAGAGAAGAAGCTGAGCCTGAGGGCCAGAGCTGAGCCAAGAGCGGTGGATGAACAGGTGGCTGTGGGTGTGTGAGCCCAGAACTGGCCCTGCAGGATGGCTCGCCCCTGAGTCAGGCCTAGGCTCAGAGGGCCACGTGGGTCTGGGCCAGCCCAGCTGTGGGCGGAACCTGAACTCCCTCCACCCCCAAGAGAACCACTCCTACCTGGCTCTTCCAGCCCTGGGTTCCACTGGGAGCAGGCCAGAGGTGGGGTGAGGGCAGAACAATTTATCAGAGCAGCAGTCCCTAGCCATACCCTATGGTACTTGGGTCTCAAGGACAACTCGCAGGGGTCCAAACCAAGAGCACAAGGGTCAGAGCCAGGCAGGGATTAGTCACCCCCTCCCCTCAGCCTCCATGTAATCCCCAGGTGCCAGTTTCCCTTCCCTTCTTCCTTAGAGGCTGGCGATGCTTCTAGGGACTAGAGGAGCTGTCTCTCAGTCCCTATGTCTCCAGCTCCCAAGTCCCTAAGAAAGGAGGACCT